AATACATCATTTTTGAAAAATTTATGGTAACAAACTTGTGTTTATAAAATACACAAGGTTGGAACTAACGGAGGAAAACGTGAATGATGACAATCGTAAGTTGTATAATGAACCCCTGATCAGTTTTAAGCTCTAACAACTTTGCCTGGTGTTTTTAATTGTATTACTGTCTAAATATTGATATGTCTTTGGTCAATAATGTTCAGGTAACAAAAGATGTATTAATATGTCTCCAGTCAGCAATGTGTTTTTTTTTAGCCATGTGTTTAAAACACAGCCTGAAACCTAAAAGCTACAAAACACCAATCTCCCGATGAACCCCCCTCTCTAAACTCTGTTCTGCACATATAGGAACACCTAGATTTAATTTTCAGTAAGATGCCATCTGCACTGGATTGGATGGCGACCTAAAAAAAAATGTGACAAGTGCTAACCCCTCAATACCTACCCTCTTTCTCCTGTAAGGAGACTTCTTAGTCTAGGGTCTGAAGAAGGGTTACTGTTTATACATGAGACTGTGTCACCCTGACTTTTCATCTTGGACACTTGTTGAGTACAGGTGCTGCCTCCTTGTTCTCATTTCATTTTTTTCCAGGGAGGTTTTCTTATATTTATTTTTAATTAGTTCAAATTTTTTATTTAGATGTTTGTCTTTTTCTCATTCAGACATCATAATTCTTTTTTTTTCCTAAATAGGGACAATAAACTTGTTAAAATTTTCAATCATTAAAAAATGCATAACATAAAATTTGCCATTTTAACTACTAATAAACTCTTGCATTGTAAATTTTTTTTTTCCCAAATTTGCCTTTCAGTTTTGTTTAGGAGCAGTTTTGCTGTAAATGTTTTATTTTTATGATTTTCAAACCTCAGTTCTTTAAATGTCCCTGCTTTGTGCTTTAGAGGTCCTTCCACAGTTGGCACAAATTCTCCCAAGGTTGGGGTTTTTTTTTCTGGTTATTTTTACCCACATAGGGCTTATTTTGGGATGAAGGGAGAGGTAGGGATTGCCCCAACCTGGACAGTACAGTTTTCAATGCAATGTACAGATTTAGAACACTCCTTCCTCCCTGAAAAAGATGCCAAATATGTTATTGTCTATTTCCAAATCTGTACTAATCCATCGCCAACTTTTCTGGCCATCTCCTTACTTTCTCCAGTATAGATCTGTGTGCCTCAGTAGCTCATCAGGCAGGTTCTTTCTCCTTAATTTTACTTTTTGCCTCCATAAAAGGTTGTTTTTACAGTCTCATTCCTCTTGGAGCTCTAGAATCTCCACAGAGGGGGCCCAAACACATGCTTGAGAAAAGCTGTCTGCTTCTGCTTCTGACCAGATAGTGGGCTAGAGCCCTAATAAAAACAACTAAAATTGCTGGGTGAAAATGAGTTAAGTGTTGGTTAATGTATCAGTGAGCACCCAGAAAATGAGGAACAGTCAGAGGCCAGAATAGTGCAGACAGAAACCCCAGGAGGGAAGAAGGAAGCAGCTTTTCTGTTACATAAGGCAGTCTTCCATCTTCTTTTCATGGACCTTCAAGATGGTGTGTCTGATAAGCAGAGACCTCAAAACATGAAGTAGACATCAAAATAAGATCTTTGCAAAGATGGAAAGCAAACTAAGGTGGATGACATGGTTTAAAGCAGTCCAGGATGCTGGAGACCCTGGGGGAACTTTCAACTAATCCTAAAGAGTTCTCCCAGTCACATCCCAGGACATGTGAGCCAGCATCAGAATGCACAGCCTGTGAATGCCAGTGGCACAGACCTGGTGTCTTTAATCCTAGTGTCTTTGCTGTGTTTAGTCCTGAAAAGTGAACAAAGCGCAAGAGACAGTGATATTTGCATAAGAGCCAAATAGAACTAAGAGAAATGAAAAAGCAAATAATTGGGTTGGATCAACAGTGAAACTGTAGGTAGCTGAAGAGAAAATAGGTGAACTGGAAGATGGAACTGAATGAGTTTCCTAAACAGGGAAAAGAAAAAAGGGGATTGAGACAGAGGAGAGAGCAGAGGCAAATTCTGAAGGGGATAATAGTGGAGAATTTTCCAGAAGTAATGGTGTCAATTCAGTCGTATTCAGAAATCCAGCCAAAATCCCAAGCAGGATATATAAAAAGACAAACAAACAAAGCAAACCTAGACAGCGTATTAAAAAGCAGAGACATCACTTTGGTGACAAAGATCCATATAGTCAAAGCTATGGTTTTTCCGGTAGTCCTGTATGGATGTGAGAGTTGGACCATAAAGAAAGCTGAGCACCAAAGAATTGATTTCGAATTGTGGTGCTGGGGAAGACTCTTGAGAGTCCCTTGGACAGCAAGGAGACCCAACCAGTCCATCCTAAAAGAAATCATCCCTGAATATTCATTGGAAGGACTGATGCTAAAGCTGCAGCTCCTATACTTTGGCCACCTGATGTGGAAAAGACTGGAAAAGATTGGAAAAGACTCTGATGCTGGGGAAGATTGAGGGCAGGAGGAGAAGGGGACGACAGAGGATGAGCTGGTTGGATGGCACCATCGACTCAGTGGACATGAGTTTGAGCAAACTCAGGGAGATAGTGAAGGACAGGGAGGCCTGGTGTGCTGCAGCCCATGGGGTTGCGAAGAGTCAGACACGACTGAGCGACTGAACAGTGCCGAAAACCACAGTCAACAAGAAAAGCAAGAATAGTAGACGGAGAGACAGCTCCTCAGCCCCACAGCATGAAACTCAGGAGCCGGTCGGGTACCGTCTTTAGCAACCCAGAAGTTCTCATTCAACAGAAGCATCTTTGGAGGGTGAGAGAAATGAAGACCCTTGTTGAGTGAAATCCTGAGGGAATTTTTTTCAGGTAGAAAATGATCCAAGTGGAGGAGCTGACTTGCACAAGGAAACAGCAAAGAAGTTTGAATAACAGCTAAAGTGTCATCCTCGTTAACAAGAATTATGGTATCCAATATGTAGGATGAAAAATTGCGTTTAGGCAACAGTGGGAAATAGGTAAAAACTGAATGGAGTAAGCTTTTAAAATCTTCACATGTTTGAGGGGAGAGTAACATACCACTTAGTTGAGCAGAGTAGCAGTATTAATAGTTAGAGTAAATACTGGGTGAACAGAACTGTTGTATAACTTCCAGATTAGTAGAGGGGAGAAATTAGACTAAAAAAAAAAGAAAATCCCAAATTCTTCCATAAGGAAACAGGTACAAATAGAAAGCACAAGATAATGAAAATACATACATAAAAGTTAGCCAGTAATTAAGTAAATGCAGATGGACAGAAAACTCCAGTTAAAAGATAGATTTTTTCAGACTGTATTTTTTAGTTCAATTTTTGTGCTACTTGCAAGAAACATCTAAACATGAAGATGCTGAAATTTTGAAAGTAAATGATGTGGGGGGGAGGAGAATAAACCTGACAAATACTAAAGAAAAAAATTAAAGCTGATATATCCACACTAATGAAGTTTTATTTTTGGTGTATTACTAGAAATAAGGGGTTTCCCAGGTGGCTCAGTGGGTAAAGAACATGCCTGCCAATGCAAGAGACAAGGGTTCGATCCCTGGGTCAGGAAGATCTCCCCTGGAGGAGGGCGTGGCAGCCCACTCCAGTATTCTTTTCTGGAGAATCCCCATGGACAGAGGAGCCTGGTGGGCTACAGTCTATAGGGTCACAAAGAGTTGGACATGACTGAAGCAACTTAGCACAGACACGCTAGAAATAAGGACTATAAAGTGAAAGCTTTTAACTCATCAAAAAGATGCAACAGTTCCAAATTTGTATGCATCTAATAACAGGGCCTCAAAATAAAGTTATGAACCACCAGAGGGAGTAAGTTTATCTTTAAAAAAAAAAAAATGTAGGGGCTTCTCTGGCAGTCTAGTGGTTAAGACTCTTTAAGACCTTAAGCTTCCACCACAGGGGGTGCAGGTTCAATCCCTGGTTGGGGAACTAACATTCCACATACCATGCAGCAATGCCAAAAAAAAAAATTTTTTTTTTAATCGATTAGTAGGTTTTCTAATAGTGATCTGTCCTTACGTTCCTAGAAAGAACTCCACCTGGATTATATTTCCTTTATTATATTTTTATTTCAATAAGTTGTGTATTTGTTGTGGGGAGCGGGGAGGGGTCTGGGCTTTTGCCGTCAACACTTGGCGGATCTTTCTCTGCCCTTCAGATTTCCCATGCTGCTGTATTTCTCATCACCCTCACTCAGCAGCCCAGCATGATGGAGCTTCCACCACCTAGACCCTTGGGTGGCCAGACAGGAAAGGGACGCGGCAAATCAGGCACCAGCTCCTAAGGATTTCCAGCAGGAAGTTATGTGCCACTTCCAGTCTCGTCTCATTGGCCAAAGCAAGTCAAAACTGCCCAATACAGGAGCTGAAAGATACATACTCCTCTCTCATACCTAGAAGGAGGAGAATCAGAAATAGTGATGGAAATCAACGAATAGCCACTGACAAGTCCCCCGAAGAGATAGTTTTGTTCTGGCAGGCAGTAGGTTTGTCAAGCTTGTTCTATTAAAATAACAATTTTTTTTTTTTTTTTTGGTGGTGTGGGCCATAGAGTCTGTCCAGATCTCAATTCTGCTGTTAACAGCTGAACAAATGGAAATAAATAGCTGCATTCCAATAAAATCTTGTTTACAGAAAGAAACCAGTGGGCTGGATTCAGCTTACAAAGGCTGTGATTTACCAACACCTGGTGTCGGGCATTACCACTCTGACTTCCCATCTTACCTCTTATAACAGTTAGGGACCTGGAGTTCTCCACCCCCTCCTCTCTCCTCTCTGTCTCTCTTCTTCCTCCCTCCCCACCCCAGTCTCTCCTGACAGCTGTCTGGCCCCGCCTCTACAGAGCATGCACTAAAAATACCCCGGCAGCAGCCTGAGCACCTGGGGGCCCTGGAGCCTATGGCAGGAGCCAGATGTGTGACCCGTGTGTGACCTTGTCCTGGGCACCCACCCTGGGCACCGCCTGCTCATCGGCAGCCCCTCCCCGATACTTGCCCAGAGCCTGAGCCACAACCGCCCCCTGATTTCTCGGTGTTGCTCCAGCGTCTAGATCACGCCTCCAGGCCTTTGCACCCAAGGTGTCCCCTCCCTGGAATGCCACCGTCCAGCCTTGCATCAGTCAACGCATCCTGGCTGCTGCCCTGTCGGGGAGCAGTGTCAAGTAGGGGAGCCAGACACATAGGAGGGGACAACACCCCACGATGCCAGGCCTGTTGGGTGGCACTGGATGCCAGAGGAGTCCCCCACACCTAGGGGTGGGGAGAAACTTTAAGGATGCAAAGGATTAAGCCAGTGTTAGGGGACGACCGAGAGCAAGGGTGGCGGAGGGACCCGCAGAAGCAGAGGCTTGGCCTTTTTGAGGAACCGAGAGGAGACAAAATTGAAGCTTCAAGAACACTGGGAGGCTGGGGGTGGGGCCATCCCTACAGCTTCATGGACACCCCACTGAGCAGATGGGACTTGCCCTTCAAAGGACCGGGTGTCGGAAGAGACCAGCCAAGCTGGGGAGCTGTGAGCAGGCCAGGATTGGCATAGAGAAGGGAAAAGGCACATGCTATACAGGGGCGGTGTATAGCAGACAGGCTTGGGGCGGGGCTAGGGGGACCTGGTCCCTGGTGGGCGTGGCCAGGGCACTTATCTGGAAAGATGTGGACTCTCGGGAGGCCATGATGGAGGGGGGAGGGGTAGCCTTTCTCTGAGAGAGCAACATAAAACCTCTCATCTTCCAAGCCCACCACCTAGGGATCCTTCTCCAGGAAGCCCTCCCTGCTCCCTTTCTGGTCCCCACCCCCAGCCCAGGGCCTCCTCTGGCTCTTTCTGACCCACTCCCTTTTAAACGCCACCCTGGACTTCCCCGGCGTTCCAGTGGTCAAGAGTCTGTCTGCCAATGCAGGGGACATGGGTTCGATCCCTGGTCTGGGAAGATTCCACATGGCATGGGGCAGCTAAGCCCACGTGCCACAACTGTGGGAGCCCTCTCTCTGCCACAAGAGAAGCCACCGCAATGAGAAACCCTCACACCACAACTAGAGAGTGGCCCCACTCACCTCAACTAGAGAAAGCCTGTGCACAGCGGTGAAGACCCAGCACGATCAAAAATAGATCAGTTTAAAACACCACCCTGTCCACCAGTAAGTCACTCTTGCGCTGCCTTCTGATCTGTAACCAGGGTTACTGCTGGGACAGGACATGGCTGGCAACCTACCTGTATAGCATGTGCCTTTTCCCTTCCTGACATTCAGCAGGTGCTCAGGAAATGTTCGTTGTGTTCCAGCTTGGCAGCACTGGGAATGTGACCTGGGGAATATTACTTAAGCTCTCTGGACCCCACACCTTCATCCCACACCCAGTCACAGAAAATTGGCATGAACCCCCAGGTACCCTTCAACTGTATTGGTGGTGACCAGACACCTGAGTTTCCTTCCCCAACCCCAGACAGGCCTGTTCTGCACCCTGTCCTCCCCATCCTCACAACATCTTCTGGGATCCAAGGTCAGGACTGGCGGGAGCTTAGGCCTCAGTGCACCTGGGTCAAGCCCTACCTCTGACATGTCTTCATGTGTGACTTCAGAGAGCAGCTTCTTATCTGTCAGCTTTGGTCCCTTCACCTGTAAAACAAAAATCAAAGCCTTCTCCCCACCTTGCCCTGGCCCAGGCTTGAGGAAGCCATGTATGGGGTATGAATGAAGTTCAGACACCACCTAGCTGGTGTGGGTGGTGCCAGAGCCCCCACGGACCTCCCAGCTTCTAATAGGAGGGCGCCAAGCGTAACACAATGCCCCAGCCCTGAGGGGTCCTCTCTGAGCTGAAAGCAAGCCAGACCAGAGATACCATGCAGGAACTGAGAGCTAAGTGCCCAGTCAGATGGGGAACTGAGAACTCCAGGAGGAGGGAACAGCAGAAGCAAAGGCTCTGAGGTGAGACCAATTTTGTAGAACTGCCGTGAGAGGGGCAAGGCCAGACTGTGCCGGCCTGGGCGGCTTAGGGATGGGAGGGGGTAGGGGATGGTGTAGGGTCTTTACTGAGGGACCTGGGCACTGCGGCAGGGTTTGGAGCTAGAGAATTCAGCGAATGGAGAGGGGATGGTAGGAGCCAGGTTTCTCCCTATTGGAGAGCCGTCCCTCAGCCAGGAACAGAGATTTGAATGAAGGACCCACAGGCGCTGCATGAATCTCATTTTATGAGCACTCACTTGAGGGCGACCGGAGCCTCTCAGGTTTGCGACAGGACAACATTCCTAAGGATGGTTCTCCCCACGCCTGGGACCAGATCCTGAGGTTGCCTGGATCAGGCTGTAGACTCGCTGTGTAGCCTGCAGGAGCCTTCTCTGAGCCTCAGTTTTCCCATCTGTAAAATGAGGGTCAATATGTGCCGCTCACAGGCTTGTAGGAGGAATCAGAAGAGTCCTTCTCAATGCTTGTCACCTATTTGGAGCTAAGTAACCTATACAGACCCTTCCCACCGAGTCTCAGGTGGAAGGAACCGGATCTATCGCTTTAAATTATGCAAATGAATGCGGGTAGTGGGGCGGGGAGATTAAAAAAAGGAGCCGCTCCCCCAGACAGTCGGCACGCTGGGCTGGTGGAACTGGCCGCCTGAATGGCCCAATGGCTGGCCGCGCGCACTCGCAGCCCGCCCCGCCTCCCAGGCCGCCGCGGAGGTGGGGATTCTCCCGGCCACGCCCCGGGGGCGGAGCCATCCGGCGGCCGCGCTGCAGCCGCGGAGGGAGGGGCGGGGCGGGCTCGGGTATCAGCTACCGAGCCGCAGGTGGCGGCGGGCGCGGGGCTTGGCCCGAGCTCGGGAGGTGAGTGCTGTTCCCTGAAACACCCCGAACCCCCCTGGCCCGCGCAGCACCCCGTGCGCACCGCGCCGGGCAGCCCGGTGGCTCCAGGGTCAAAGGCGCGGCGGGATGTGAGGGACGGAGAACAGAGGGTGGGGGGCTGCGCGGTGGGTACCCGATCCTTCCTCCACCTCCCGCGTGGTAACCGGGGATCCGCGGAGGGAGATGGAGACCCCTCCTAAATCCTCCATCTCCTGGCCTAGAAGTGGAGCGTGAGGCGGGGCGGTTATGAATCGAGACCCCTCCCCAAAATCCCTTTATTCTAAGCCTGGATCTGGGTCTAGGTTCCAGAGCTGCAAAGATGAGCTTGCCGCTCTCCCTAGAGCCTGGGACCCAAGGCAGATGAAATGGAGACCACCCCCAATTTCCCTCTTCCCAGCTCTGGCCTGTAGATCTCCCCACGCCCCCACCCCCGGCCCTGAGACCAACATGAGGAACCCCTTCCTCTGTGAACCCCTATCTAGGCCTGTATGAGGAGCTGGGGGTCCCCTGGTCCCTCCTCTAGAGTGTGTTTTTCTAGCTCCCTACCACAAGGATGGGGTAATGGAGGGGCATTTCACTGGGATCCTCATTTCAGCAGGGACCCCAAGATTGGAATTCTGGGAAGGGTCAGATGGAGTCCCTTGCCTGGCAGGGCCAGGCCGGGCCAGGCTTGGAAAGACCTGGAGTATGGACTCAGTGGTGGTCCCTGCTTCAGTGGGAGATGGGCAGTGAGCATCTGTTCCCAGGGATTAAAATAAATCGAGGTAAATTAGGATCTTGCTGGAGGCTGACTGAAAGTGGGGTGCGGAGGAGGGTTGGGGGGTGGGCGGCCCCTCCATCTGCCTCAGATCCCAGAATTCGCCTGCCTCATCTGCAGTAGGTACCAGGAGGTAGCTTCCGATGGACCTGCCTCACTGGTGACCTTGGACAGATGACAGACCTCCCTGAGCCTTTATTTTTAATTTTTTTTTAATTTGAAAATGAGGTTGAGGCTTCAAAGCTTGTACTCTACTGATTCTGAAACCCACCTACTCCATCTTTTGCTAAATTGTGACTCCACCCTTTTGCTAAAGATGGTGGTCGGAGGAGAGAGAGCGATAGGTTTGGAGGTCCCTCCATATGCCTTGCTGGCCTCAGAGCCTCAGTTTACTGCACTGCAAAATGGGCAGACGGTCACACTCTGGCATTGCTGGAAGAGTTGCTTTGCCAGACAATAAAATGTATTACCAAGCTGCTATCATCAGAACAGGGGCTCTTCCACCCTTGTCACGCTGGCGGGACTGCCCGGGGCATATCCTGACCCACATACCTTCACCCACGCCAGGGGCAAGCCAGTACCTAGATAGGATCCTGGGTAGGACGAGATGGGAGGCACTGGGCCAGTCTATCCCCTGTCTCTTTGGGCTCTGTCCCTCTGGTGGGGGTGGAAGTCCAGAGTTCCCAGGTTCAAATCCAGCTTTCCTGTGAGTGGCTTTGCCCCTTTGCACCTTGGTATGTTCTTCTATGAAATGGGCTGAATTCCCCTTGGAGGATCAGAGCAGACTGGCAGAACGGGAGCGCTGTAAATGCAGACATTGTAATACTATAGTCATTATCATACAGTGTTATAATCATTACCATATTATAATTATAATACTAATTGTAATATTAATGAGCATAAACAGGGTCAACAGCTGATTCAGGTCAGGGCAGGATAGGAAAGGAGGAAATCTGCAAGGGTATTGCCTGCTGTGTTTCCAGAGCTCAGTAGTCAGTTGGTGCTCAATAGGTGTTGGCCAAGGAAAGTGATGGAGAGAGAGGAGACAGCAGGGAAGACTGAAAAATTCCTGAGCAGAAGCTCAGAGGCTATCCATGACCCAGTTACTGCACGGCATGGGGCCACTGCCTCAGTTGTCTCACTGGGGGTGATGGTGGAGTCGAGACCCCACCTCCAGGTGCCGCTGTGAGAATCAAGTCAAACTGGTAAACGGGCACAACCCTGGTGGCCAGCCCTAGAGGGGAGCAAGTGCATGACAGACCTGGTCCCTGAAACAGCATAGCCAAGAGGCCGGTCACAGGAAAAGAAGAGAAAGACCCCAAACTGGCCCTACTGTGAGCAAACTGGAGTCCAAGGGAGAGCAAAATGATAGATCCTGTTTTGCAGAAGCCTAGAGACCCAGAGAGGTCAGGGGCAGCCCAAGGCCACCTACTGAGAGGTCAGGAGTTCCAGACAACCCGTCAGGAACGGGAGCCCTGCCTTCTTTGCTGACTTGGTTCCTGTCTTGTTTTATCTGCTCCCGGACCTGCTCAAATGCTGAACTGGCGAGAAACCCCAGGGTTTTGGGAATTGATGCTGGAGAGGCTGGATCTCCAGGCGGCGCCAGGAGCTTGTGTCAGCCATCTCTGGGAAGGACTCTGTTCCTCACCTCCAGCAGCCAGAGGATGGGGGCATCCGGGTCAGCTGACAGCCTGCTATGTGACCTTGGGCAAGGACCTGTCCATCTCTGGGCTTTGCCCTGGCACTGAGGAGGCTGGGAGACCTGGGTTCTCACAGGGCTGACTTCTCCATCAGACACAGTGACCACCATGTCTCAGGCACAACCTTGGGGTCCATAAAGGTGTTTTAACTTCTTTTAAAATCAGAAGGGGAAAAAAAAACAGGCTTTGGGGTCAAAGAAAACATTTAATATATGATATTAATATATTCGTTTCTATGTCAAATGTAGTTGTAAAAATAGTTTAAACTCTTTTTTTAGTGGAGGAAGGGACCCTGAAAGCAAAAATGCCTCAGGCCCATGGAAGTCCTCATGCAGCCCTGGGTTTGAGTCTTGGTGCTCCCATTCACAGGCTGTGCAACCTTGGGCACGTGGACTCCCCCCTCTGAGCCTTGAGTTCCCCGCCCCCACCCAGTGAAGCCGGCACCACTGGCCCACCTAAGAATGGTGAGATGTGGAATGTTTTAGTCTACATGGTTGGTGCGCAGATTTGTGGGTACTATTATTTGACAGTTGCTATCAAGATTATATTTGCTTACTAATAATAGCCCCAAGGTGGGGGCCTCAGCTTTCCCCACCCAGCACCTGCGCAGTTCTAGGGAGGTCCCAGGGGTGCTGGTCTGGCGGGGGAGGTGAGCTGGCGGTTGGGCCATGGGCGGGGCGGGGTGAGCTTCCTGTCCCCCAGGCACAGGGGCCCCAGCTAACGGAAGTGGCAGGGGCCACGTGGTTATCTCCCGGTCCCCGTCCTGTCTCGGGGCTCTGTTCCCACTCGCTGTCCGGTGAGTTTGAGCCCAGGCCAGGAGGCCCCCACTGCTCCTCCTTTCCCCTCTTGGGGACAGAAGGGAGACCCTCCTACCTGGCCCGGGTTTCGAGAGAAACAGTAGGTGTCACTTCCTGGGCCTGCGCAGGGTCACCCTTTGCTCTGCTACTGTGCTCCCCCACTTTACACCCCTGAGTGGCAGGATGGATGGCAGGGCGGTCGCGGGAATATGGTGAACCAGAGCCACATGTGGTAGTTTCCATCAGGGGTTCTTCAGCAGACAGGTCATAGTGACCTGGGGCCAGTCAGTGACCTCTCTGTGGTTCAGTTTCCTCATCTGTAAAGTTGATATTGAGCCCCACGTTGTGGTTGTGAAGGTTGAATGAATGTGTGGTGCCTGAAAAGAGCTGGACACAGCGTCACACTCACACTGGTGCTCAGTGTATGTGTAACGGGGAGGGGCAATCTAATGGGAGCTGTAAAAACAGTCGCAAAGATTCTTGGTTTCGGGGGAACTTAGGCCCTCTGGCTCCTAGGATCTTCTAGACTGTCTAGCGGAACTTCATCTGTGCTGTCTAGTACAGTGGCCACCAGCCTTATGTGGCTACTGAGCCCTGGAAACAAGGCTGGCACAACTGAGGAAGTAGGAGGCTAATTGTATTTAATTTTATTTACTTTAAAATTAAGTTGCAAAAAATAAAATAAAATAAAGTTGCCACATGGGGGCTAGTGGTTCCCATTATCAGTTAGCATAGTGCAGATGCTCAAGGTCTAGGTCATGGCCAAAATCTAAGAAATGAGATGGGAATTTAGGGCTTTTCCCTCTTGGGATGTCAGCTTTATATGTCTTCAGTTAGACTAGGTTTCCTCATGGGCTACACTGGGGCCTGGAATTTCTCAAGGGTCCCAGCTCCGCCCAACACAGGGTGGTGGTGAAGAATGTTTGTTAATAAAATAATTGTTTGCTTGGTGAACTCCTATTCATGCTTTAAAACCCCAACTCCCATGCCCTCTCCTTTAGTTCAAGTCCCCCAGCCAAATCATCTCATGGACCCTGTTACTGTCCTGGCCAGGTAGGCACATGGTGGGTGCTAGGTGACTTATAGAAGTCACCCAGGACGCTAGCTGATAGTGGGTCAAATTAAACTCAAGATTAGAAAACTGCAGCTTAGAGAGGGGCAGCCTTGCCCAAGGTCCTTGCTCAGTCCTTTCTAGTGAGGCCCAGGGAGCGTTCGCGTCCCTGCGGTCACCAGCCCCGTCTCTGCTGCTGCTGTGCCTCCTGGGCTCCCAGCTGCTGCTGAACTGCCCTCGGGGTCATGAATTATGGATGAGGCTTGTGGGCTCCAGTGACAAGCCCAACCTCGACAGCATGCCAAGGACACCGAGTGTCCCTCCCTCGCCTGGTGGCTTGGCTCATCCCCTTCTCCTGGGAGGCCTGGGGTCCTCCAGTAAGATCTCTTCTAGGCGTTTCCTCGTGTTTTGCAGATGGGGAGACTGAGGCACGGAGCTGGACAGTGACTCAGACACCTACCAGGTGAACACAGTGGCTTCCAGGGGGCAGGGTCAGGACTCATGGATGCACCAGTGTCCGCCGGGTCACCATGGCGAGGGCTGAACTTGCTATCCCAGGAATGTGCATGACATGGGGACTGTTGTAGAGGGATCCGGGAGACCCTGAGGGGACCTTAGGGCCACTTGAAGGACCCCGATGCCCACGGGGCCGATCACAGTCCCAGCGTCCACCTCTCACCTGACCCTTTTCCGACAGGAGCTGCCCAGAGTGGAGCCGAGTGTTCACGGGACTCAGCTGACCCAAGTGCAATTCCACTGTCACTTCCTGGCTGTGTGACCTTGGCAAGTAGCTTGAGGGGATTCAGTTTTTCTGTCTCTGAAATGGCCCAGAGCTTTTCTACCCATCCTCCACCATGAACTCCTCTTCATGCTTAAAAACCCCACCCCCATACCCCCTCCTCTAGTCTAGGCTCCCCCAGCCCCTATCCCTTCATTTAGTTCAGCTCTGACCCCACAGGGCTGGGGGTATCTGTATCCAACTCTGTCCCCCTAGGCTGGGAGCTACTTGGGGACCATGCCCAAAGCTGAATCACTCCAGGGACCCTGGCATACCCCCAGCTTTGGGGCTTTTGGTTCCTCCTCCATCCTCTTTCTCCTTCCTCCACAAGGAGAGAAGTTGGAATTTCCCCTCCTTAGGCCCTAGCCAGCTGTGACTACAACTCAAATTTGCCTCTCTCTTTGGACAGGCACAAGATAGGAACCCTCAGGGGTCTCCACAGAGGCCATCAAAATGTCCTATTTTGGGGAGTATTTTTGGGTAAGTAAGATTCACTCTTATTTTGGTGGGGTGTCCTGGAAGGGCTGTGGGGGCTTTTATGGAGATGGAGAAACCTGGTGGCTTGTGGGCAGAGTCTTGGGCAGATGGAGGGTTTGCAGGGGGTAGAGGTTAAAGTGGGAGGAGTCAGGCTGGGTTTGAATCTGTAGCCCCAGATGTCATAGGCCTTGTGGTCTTGGGCACATCACAGCTTGAACAGGGTGACCGAGGCCCAGAGTAGGAATCTCTTACCCGAAGTTGCCCAGCGAGAAGTACAGTCAGGTCTCAAACCCAGGGCCGGGCCGAGCTTCCAGGATCATTCCAGCCAGGGAATTTCCACATCTTCCCCATCCTGGAGAGTTGGGGGGTTTTCTTGGCTTGACCCCTAGGGACCTGCTCACCTGTCTGCTCTCTAGACTGGGGACTTGACTCAGGAGCCAAGTGAGACAGATTTGTTTTTACTTATTCACTCCCTCCCTCCCTCTCTGTCACCACCCCACACCCAGCCCACTCTGGGAGATGTTGGAGCCCCCAGGAGACTCTCTCCCAATCCTGACCTGAGGAACCCCAAATCTGGGGGACACAGAGCTAATAAGACCCCTCTAGTCTTAGTGAGTCAGGATTGAGCCCAACCTTGGTGTGCCAGAGAATGAGCAAGGAGGCAGAGTTGTGTCTGCCATGGGCTTTGAAGGCTGATTTTTCAGGATGCCAGAAAGGCATTCTGGGCAGGGGGAACAACCTGGACAGAAATAAAAAGGTGTGACACGGGGTGGCCAGTGGAGGGCACAAGGACTCCTCTTGCAGAGCCAGGCTAATGGGGAGACACAGAGGACGAGTGAACAGGAGAATAGGGTAGGACCCAGGGCAGAAAGCCCCTTCCTCAGTTGCAGGCCCAAAGCTTGCTGAGAGGAAGCCCGTTGCTAGGCAACGAGTTGCCCCTGGCAACAGGCCTTTCTCCCTCCCCAGCTGGGGCTCCTCTTACTAGCATTTGCTTTCTTAAAGGGGCAGCACCCCCTTGCCACCTGCGGGCAGGGGGTAGGGGGGTGGGAGGGATGGAGGGAGAGCTGGACCTCCACCTTCTTTCCAAGGGTCACAGTCCCTGGATTTGCCTCTGAATGGCTGTGTGACTCCATCCGAGGGCTGCCCCTCTCTGAGCCCCCGTTGGCACTTTGTGTAAGGGGGTTTGGCCATTTGAGGATCAGTTGTTGCCCACATTTTGCAGTCCTGATGGGCACCTACATGTATTTTAAACTCTTTTTAATTGTGTGAGGCAGGCAAGTTCACTGCAGAAAATTCAGACTAGCAAAGAGAAAATAGTAGCCACCCCCAACCCCTCCCTCCAAAGATAGCCTGGTACAGAGTGGGTAAGAGCTTTGAGTTTGGGATTTGAATTGGGCTCTTCTGGGAGCACTTGGGCAAGTGACTTTGCATCTTGAAGCCTCAGTTTCTCCATCTGGGAAAGGGGAATGGAGCTCCTACTTCCCCAGGGCTCAGGGAGCACCCTGGAATGTCCCTTTCTCTTTTGTTTATTTACTTATCTGTTTATTGGCTGTGTCTGATTTAGTTGCAGCATGTGGGATCTTTCGTTGTGGTGCACGGCCTGTCTAGTTGTGGCCTCAGTAATTGCAGTTCACAGGATCCAGGGCATGCAGGCTTTAGTAGTTGTGGCAGGCCGGCTTAGTTGCTCAGGGGCGTGTGGGATCTTAGTTCCCTGCCCAGGAATCGAACCTGTGTCCCCTGCATTGCATGGCGGATTCTTAACCACTGTGAGGGAAGTCCCCTGTCTGTTTCTTTTAATTAATGTTTCTTTTAATCTATTGTTAGTATTGCTGGCTCTTCGCTGGGTGATCCTGGGGCCCTGACTGATCTGGAGGAGGCTCCATTCAGGAGAGATCAAGTCAGACAAGGATTCCCCAGTCTTGTTGGGTCAAGGCAGGGCTGGTGGCATGGAGGGCAGTGGGGAGCCCACGGGGGAAGTGTGAGCAGGAGAAGGACATGATCAAGCTGTATTAGAAAGATCTCGTGGGCTTCCTTGGTGGCTCAGTGGTAAAGCATCCACCTGCCAGTACAGAAGACACAGGTTTGATCCCTGATCCAGGAAAAGCCCACTTACTGCAGAGCAACTTAGCCCATGCGCCACAACTATTGAGCTTGTGCCCCAGAGCCCGGGAGCCGCAACTACTGAGACCATCTGCTGCAACAATTGGAGCCCTCGCGCCCTAAAGCCCTTGCTCCCCGACAAGAGAAGCCACTGCAATGAGAAGCCTGCACACTGCAACTAGAGAAGAGCTTACACACCAACAACGATGCAGCACAGCCAAAAAGAAATAAATAAATTAAAAAAAAAAAAAACAGAGAGAAACATCTCTCTGGGCCTGGCTTGAGAGCAAGACTGGTGTCCAGAGGTTCTGATAGGAGACATAGGCTCAAGACAGCCCCTCCCAGGACCGTCGGCTGCCAGCCCAGCCCGAGGGAGTCAGACACTGCTGGGGGTTTGCCAGGTCTGGGAAACAGGCCAGCAGTTGGCTCTGAGTCAGCTCCAGATGCTGGCCTGGGCAGCAGTGCCTGGTGCGGCCTCACCCGAGGATCCCCTGGGCAGGGTGGGCAGGGGGCTGCTGGGGTTGTTTGCTGAGGCCTTACCACTGTGCTTCCCAGGTGGCGTCAGTGGTAAAGTACCTGCCTGCTGATGCAGGAGGCGCAAGAGATGTGCGTTCGATCTCTGGGTCAGGAGGAGGGTCAGGGTCAGCCCCTGGAGGAAGGCATGGCAACCCACTCCAGTATTCTTGCCTGGGAAGTCCCACAGTGAGAGGAGCCTGGTGGACTACAGTCCATGGGGCTGCAAAGAGTGGGACATGACAGTGACTAACCTCGTGACTTATTCAACAAAGAGGGCTGCCTTTGGGGTTTTAGAGGACCATGATGTGAATCATCCCATATGAGAGGTAGATGACTCCCTGCTCCCATCTTAATGAGGAGCCACTATAAGTTCGGAGAGAGACATGACTGATCTGGATCGCACAGTGTAGCCCTAGCCCCACCTCAAACCGTGGTGACCCCAGAACCGGGAGAAAAGGGGTTCTGTGCAGGGCATCAGCAGACACCAGGGTAGAGGCTCTGTTCCCACCAGCACCAGGCAACAGGAAAATAACTTGTCCTTCCATTCAACAAATGCAAATTCCCTTTCTGTGCCCCACCCTGCACTGGACATTGCTGGGTCCTGAGAGAGTATCAGACCCACATCCTGCTTTGTGGGGTCCTCAGAGAGAATTTTCATGTTGAAGAGAACAGAAAATAAGGCTACAGTGACTTAAGCAACAGGGGTTGTATTAATTCATAAACTTGAAGAGTTGTGCAATAGTGTGGCTTTCAGGGTTGGTTTGGTCCAGCATCTCTACTCAAGATGCTTTTTTTTTTTTAAAGACTTCACAACCAAGACCTTTGTTGCGGCACACAGGCTCCAGAGTGCCTGGGCTCTGTAGCTGCGGCACATGGGCTTCGCTTCGCCACGACATGTGGGATCTGAGGTCCCTGACCAGGGATCGAACCCACATCCATTGCATTGGAAGGTGGATTCTTAACCACTGGACCCCCAGGAAAGTCCCTCAACACGCTTTTTATTCAGACCCTCAAATTCAGTATCTTTGCAAAGTTCATGGTTTCTGTTCGGTTTCCAGGATCTCCTGTGACCATATAGTCTCTCATTTATGGACAGATACAAAGAGAAAAGCAGAGGGGAAGAGATCAAAGAGAAAGGAGCAAACAGAGGTAGAGAGATACGTACACACTCGCACAGAAAGACAGACAGACAGTGAGAGAGGAAGATAAGAGTGAATGAGACTGCCTCTCTCTCAACTATAGTACGAGAATCCCAGGGTCTCTTCTAATTAGGCCAAATTAAGGTCCATAAGCCAATCCTTAGGACCAGGGGGAAATGCAGCTGGTGATTGGCTCAGGCCAGAACCAATGCCTACAGCCAAGAGGATGGACTTCTGCCAGTTAGCTCTTCAACCCAGGCCCCTGTTGCTAGGCGTCCTTGATGCCCTCTCCATCCCCTTTCTCAATCTCCATCCTCGCCCCCTGCAGGGAGAGAAAAACCATGGCTTTGAGGTCCTGTACCACAGCGTGAAGCAGGGGCCCATCTCCACCAAGGAGCTGGCAGACTTCATCCGGGAGAGGTGAGGTTCCCCAAGCCCCATCCATCCCCGTGGCCAAGACCTGAAGTCCACTCAGCCATGCCCATCTTGTACTTCCACCCAGGCTCTGCCCCATTTTTCCCGTTCCCATCCCACCCTGACAGGGCACCACATTCTGCCAGAAAGAGTCCTGATCCCTGGGGTCTCCAGGAATCAAATGAGCTTGAAGACCCTCCCGACCGACAGTTCTCAACACTGTCAGCCCTGTGCCCCATTTTAAACAATAATCACCAGACTTCTAAGCCCTCCTCTTGAAGAGATGATAATATGACCTACTTACAAGGAGAAATTTGAAAACTCAATCTCAGGCCCTGAGTACAATAAAAGAAAATACATGTATGATGAAATAATCTATATTTCAGCTCACAAATGCTCCAATGTCCCAGAAAACACAATAAACTCAAATTGCAAGGCAACCTCTGCTCCCCAACCACTCAGCAGCTGAATGCCCGTTGAATCTGGGCAGAGAGTCCAGAGGATGATTAACCAGGTTTTTCCTCTCTGAGGCTGTCATGCAGACCTGTCACAGCCATGCTGTGTTTCATGAGGCTTCAGACCCTGGATCCATCCACTATTGTGTGTGGTACCCCATGGGTGCCGCTGTCAAAAAATACCCCAGTGGATAACTAGTTTTAACTGGGCACATGGATACCCCAAACAAAACAATTCTATTAGGATGAAAATATGAGTGAATATTAGGTAGGCATTTAGCAGTGTCTGCCTAGAGGGAATAAAGAAATCTGAGTTTATCTTCTGCAATTAAATGAGACAAAGCGCATGAAACATTGATACTATGTGCTCAAAATTTTGTTTACTTGCTCTTGCTGCTGCTGCTATCTACTACTGCTGTTAGTAAAATTTTATTTAAGGATGAAAACCTCTCCCGTGAATTTCCCAAACATCTTCCCCTGCCAGGGGGCTGTATCATTCTCCTGGAGGCTTCTGCTCAGATGTCTGAGATGGGGAAGCTGAGGCCCAGGGGTATGGGGCCTGTCCCAAGGTGTCAGGACCCTCCCCATCCTTTCCCTGTCCTCCTACCCAGGGCCACCATCGAGGAGACCTACTCGAAGGCAATGGCAAAACTTTCCAAGCTGGCCAGCAACGGGACCCCCATGGGGTGAGTGGGCTGTGGGTGAGGCAGGAGTCGCTGAGGGTGTGGGGGTCCCTGGGGGCAACAGGCTGCTGCCTTTGGGTGTACATCTCTTCACACTTGTGATATGTGGGGCAGGGAGTCATGCCCCTGTTTATGGGCTAATTGGACAGAAGAATATGAATGTATATCTCCATGGCTCAGTGGTAAAGTGGCTTCCCAGTGGCACTAGTGGTAAAGAATCTGCCTGCAGTGCAGGAAACTTGGGTTCAGTCCCTGGGTTGGGAAGATCCCCTGAAGAAGGAAATGACAACCCATTCCGGTATTCTTGCCTGGGAAATCCCATGGACAGCGGAGCCTGATGGACTAGAGTCCGTGGGATCGCAAGAGACAGACACAACCGAGCATGCATGTACAGTCGTAAAGAACCTGCCTGCCAATGCAGGAGACACAGGTTTGATCCCTAGGTCAGGAAGATCCCCTGGAGAAGGAAATGGCTACCCACTGCAGTATTCTTGCCTGGGAAATCCCATGGACAGCGGAGCCTGGCAAGCTATAATTCATTCATTCATCCAGTGGATATTTACTGAGCCCATACTGGGTGCCAGACCTTGTTCGAGGCACCAGGGGGCCCAGGGGCAATCAAAACAGATCAAGCCTCCAGTCACCTTCATGCCCTGTTCATAGGGTGTGCGTCTGGGATATGTGATAGATGTTAACCACAAACACGAACAAAGTCCTTTCCCAGAGAGAACAGTGCTAGGAAGAGAATGAAATAGGAGCATTAGAAGGTGGGTACTATATCTGGAGCTGAGATCTCAGTAATGAGAAAGAATCAGCCGTGGGGGTGTCCGAGGGACAGAGACCCAGGGAGGTGGCTCAGCTAGTGCAAAGGCCCTGAGGCAGCAGCACACTTGTGCATGTTCAAGGAAGAGCAAAGAGGCAGGCCTGGCTGCAGGGCCGGGGCACCGTGGAGATGAGGTGGGGGAGAAAGAGAGGGGAAGGGGAGTATCAGGCTGGGCCTGGAGTCCAGAGAGAGGACAGCAGGCGTCAGCCTAGCTTTAAATTCCTGCTCTGATGTTCATTTGCTGAGGGGCCCTGGGTGAGTGATGGGGCCTCCCATGCCTCAGTTTCCCTGTCTGCTGCAGGCCCACCTTGCATGATTGCAGTGGAGATTAAATGAGTTCATATATGTTCATGTTTAGCAGGGCCCAGAACACATGAGGTGTCTGAGCCAAAGCCAGCCATGCAGGGTGAAGGGTCCCTTGCTGAGGGGTTGGGGTTGGGCCTGCTGGGCCCTGGGTGTGACCCCCACCTCTCTGTTTCCAGGACCTTTGCCCCGCTCTGGGAGGTCTTCCGGGTCTCCTCAGACAAGTTGGCACTGTGCCACTTGGAGCTGACGCGGAAGCTTCAGGATCTCATCAAGGATGTGCTCCGCCACGGGGAAGAGCAGCTCAAGGCGCACAAGAAGGTGGGGGCCGCGGGGCCGGGGCGTGGGGAACGGCTGTGGCTCCTAGGACCCCAGGACTTCTGGGGCCTTGGAACCCCAGCTCCTGGTGTGTGTCCCTGAGGGTTCTGTTAGTGCCACAACATCAAACTCGGCATCTCACAGACCTGAGCATTGTTGAATTTCAGACTCTCAGAATTCTAAGAGCAGGGGCTCTGCAAACTGCAGCCAGTGGGCGATGGCTAGACCATCACCTTGAGCTGTGAGTAGTTTTTCTACTTTTAAGGGATTGGGGGAAAAAAATCAAAAGAAGGATATTTTATGATGTGTGATTATTACAGGACATTCAGACTTTAATGCCAGTAAATCAAGTTGTGTTGGCCACAGCCATGCCCATTCACGTTCAGATCTTCTGTGGCTGGCTTATTTGAACTGCAATGGCTGAGTTCAATGTCAGATTTACCACCCGATCCTTCACACCAAAAGTCTGCTGACCCCTGATCTAGAGCGTTAGAAGCTACAGATCTTATTTGACATTTCTAGACTCTTTTTTTTTTTTTTGGCCCAAACTTTATTTTTTAAATGAAGTTGTTTTAAATATATTTTTAATTGGAGGATAATTGCTTTGCAATGTTGTGTTGGTTTCTCCCATAAAACAACATGGGGCTTCCCAGGTGGCTTAGATGGTAAAAAATCCACCTGCAATGCAGGAGACCTGGGTTCGATCCCTGGGTCAGGAAGATCCCCTGGAGAAGAGAATAGCTACCCACTCCAATATTCTTGCCTGAAGAATTCTACGGACAGAGGAGCCTGGTGCGCTACAGTCCATGGGGTTGCAAAGAGTCGGGCATGACTGAGCAACCAACACCACTACTACTACTAGTGAGGAATATGTGTAAGTCTAACTGGCTCTCTGGGCTTCCTGGCCCTCATCAGAAAANATCTCTTGGGAAATACGGAATCATCTGCATGGAGGATCTGATTCATGAGATCTATACCGTTGGAAAACGTTTCAAAGAAGCAAACAACTTCCTGTGGCCCTTTAAATTGTCTTCTCCATGAGGTGGAATGAAGAAAAAGACCACCCATTTTGTAGAAGGTGGAGATGCTGACAACAGAGAAGACCAGATCAACAGGCTTATTAGAAGGATGAACTAAGGTATCTACCAGGATTATTTTTGTAATCTGGTCCATTAATAAACAATTGAAACAAACAAACAAAAAAAAATGGTTAAGATGGCAAATTTTACATTATATGTTTTTTACCACCACTTTCTTTAAAAAATTAAAGAACAAGGAAGTTTTCTCTGGACTAATATGGAACAATCTTGAAAATGAATTATTAAGTGGAAAAAGCAATCAGTTAAACAGTATGGCCTGTCACCATTTGTCATAAAAAAATGGGCATATTTGCTGATCTTCATGCCAGTTATTTCAGGAAATGTATCATGGTAATAATAGGAGGTTTGATATTTCCTTGTGTGGTCCAGTGGGTAAGACTCTGTGTTTCTAATGCAGGGGTTGTCGGTTCGATCCCTGGTCAGGGAACTAAGATCCCACATGTCTGCCTTGCAGTGGGGAAAAAGAAAAAAAAAAGACTTTATAGTTAAAAAAAAAAGGTGGGGGTGGGGGAAGGTTTTTACCTGACCTCACTCCTTAAAACTTTCTGAAATATGAATTATGTGTAAGTATTACCTATTTAAAGAGTTAAAATTTTTGAAATTCATAGAATTCTCAGAAAAAAAGAATTCTGTAGGAGCTGGAACCCCACAGGTTTGGGAGGCTGGAAATTTCATGGTGTGTACCTGGGTCTGCTCAGGTCCTGCACCCAGCAGGGCCTTCAGGGGGTCCTCATGCTCGTCCCCACCCCCACAGTGCAAAGAGGAAGCGGTGGGCACGCTAGATGCCATACAGGTCCTCACGGGGGTCAGCCAGCTCCTGCCCAAGTCTCGCGAGAACTACCTGAACCGTTGCATGGACCAGGAGCGGCTTCGGAGGGAGAGCACTAACCAGAAGGAGATGGACAAGGTGGGCGCTCAGCTGCAGGTCCCCAGCCACCCCGGCCCGCGTGGATCCGAGGAGCGTGCCGAGAGGTGGCAGGGCGGCCTGATGGGAGAGTGGAAACACAGCACGGAGCCATGGCCATCAAACCTGCGTGAACCACACCCTGGGCTCCCCAAGGCGTCTACGCGCTGGGGGACGGGGCCGGGGAAGTGCCCCAGGGTCGCTTTCCCAACCCCGTGCCCTCACTGTGCCTCCTAGGCGGAGACCAAGACCCGGAAGGCAGCAGAGAGCCTGCGGCGATTGGTGGAGAAATACAACTCAGCCCGTTCTGACTTTGAGCAGAAGATGCTGGACTCAGCTCTGGTAAGAGCCGGGCCCGTTCTGACTTTGAGCAGAAGATGCTGGACTCAGCTCTGGTAAGAGCCGGGCCCTGGAGACCTACACATTCCTGGGCCCAGGATGCTGTGGGCCTCAGAAATCCAGAACCTTCCAAACCCTCGACTCCCAGAAGCCTTAGAGTCACAGGCTAANTTTGAGCAGAAGATGCTGGACTCAGCTCTGGTAAGAGCCGGGCCCTGGAGACCTACACATTCCTGGGCCCAGGATGCTGTGGGCCTCAGAAATCCAGAACCTTCCAAACCCTCGACTCCCAGAAGCCTTAGAGTCACAGGCTAAAACTGTACAATTCTAGAGCCAGTTAGCTATTGTTGTTGATGTTGTTATTATTTTAAAGACCAAATCAGTTCTGTGCCTTAATTTCACCATTTGTAAAATGGGGACAGTAATACTACCTGCTTCATAGACTTGTGAAGATTAAATGAATCACCATATATGAAATTTTCAGACTAGTACCAGGTGCATAGAAACCACTCTATGATGTATTATTATTATTATTGATGAGGTTTTTGAACAAGATGGGGCAGGATTTAGAAGCCAAGAGTCTCCTGACATGTCATGGTGACTGAAAAGCCTGGATTCCTGGTCTAGCCTCTGTCTGTCACCAGCCTTTGGCAAGGCACTGCACCTCTAAAAGCAGATTGGGAGTTCAGGATTAAGAATTAAATTTTTTTTTCTTTTGATTTTGCAGTGATAGAAAGTTGCAAGCAACAGAAATCTTCGTTCAAACTGATAAGGAGCCTTATAGGCTTAGGGAACTGAAAAGTTCAGGGTGGGGCTGAGCTTCAGGCATGGCTGGATCCAGGTGCCCAAATGGTGTTGGCAGGAAGCTGTGCCTCTTTGCTTCTCAAATCTGTTTTTCTCCCTGAGGGCTTTATTCCCAGGCAGACACACCCTCCTCAATGTGTGTGTGTGTGTGTGTGTGTGTGTGTGTAGCAAAGTAGCCCCCAGCAGCGGCCCCATTTATCTGCCAACTCATTGACTCAGGATATGAAAGTGTTTTTTCTATGATTCCAGCAGAAGTCCCAGAGCTCTTACCCAAATCAATCACTGAGGCCATGGGGTTGGGACATTCTGATTGGTCAGGTGGGGTCATGGGCCACACCTTCCCATTTTGCTCCTCCCCTCCTGCCTCAGCGCTTCCAAGCCATGGAAGAGACCCACCTGCGGCAAATGAAGGCACTAATGGGCTCCTACGCCCACTCAGTGGAGGACACCCATGTGCAAATTGGGCAGGTGAGTGGGGCTGGGGGTGGGGAATGAGGTTGGGGTGCTGGGCAAGAAGGCCCTGCCTGGTTACAAATTCCATCCTCCTGGCCCAGGTGCATGAGGAGTTTAAGCAGAATGTAGAAAATGTCAGTGTGGAGATGCTGCTGAGGAAGTTTGCAGAGAGCAAAGGCACAGGCCGGGAGAAGCCTGGTGAGTCGGGGGCATCTATGGGAGTTGGGCTGTGGAGCCACAGCTATGGGGAAGGAAGGGGATTCAAGAGCCTGGAGAATGAACCTCCCTGGGCCTCATTTTCCTCACCAGAAAAATGGGGTTAAAAAAAAAGAAAAAGAAAAATGGATTGATGGAACTTCCCTGGTGGTCCAGAGGTTAAGACTTCTTCCACTGCAGGGGGTGCAGATTCAGTTCCTGGTCAGGGTACTCCCATGTGCCTTGCAGCCAAAAATCCAAAACATAAAACAGAAACAGTATTGTAACAAATTCAGTAAAAGACTTAAAAAATAGTCCACATTTAAAAAAATAATCTTTAAAAAGAATGGACTGAAGACAAATCTAACTCAGCAACCTACAGAGGAAGAGAACTTGATGCCTAATCTTACAGATAGATGGCTTACCACTAGATGCCAGAGGGGCCTTGAATGCCAAGGTCAGCCTTTCAGATGTTTCCCTGAGGGCCCAAGGGAGCCACTGAAGATTGTTGAGCAAGAGGCGCATTTGAAAATGTCCCAGATACAGGGTCAAGGAAGAATTGAGAGCCAAAGTTTTGGGGTCACATCTGGGTTTGTGTCTTTCCTTTGTCACTCACTGTGTCACCTTGGACATCTGTCTTGCTTTCTCTGAGTCCTAGTTTCCTCTTCTGTAAAGTAGGGATGATAGTCCCCAACTAATGGTGTTGTGAAAGTTCACCGTTATTGTCGTTCAATCACTAAGTTATGTCCGACTTTTTGCAACCCAGTGAACTCCAGCACACCAGGCTTCCCTGTCCTTCACTGAGTTTGCTCAAACTCAAAGGACATCATTGAGTCAGTGATGCCATCCAGCCATCTCTTCCTCTGTTGGCCCCTTCTCCTCTTGCCCTCAGTCTTTCCCAGCATCAGGGTCTTTTCCAGGGAGTCAGCTCTTTGCATCAAGTGGCCAAAGTATTGGAGCTTCAGCATCAGTCCTTCCAATGAATATTCAGGATTCACTAATTTGATGCAAATAAAGGGCAAAATGTGTGCCTGGAACACATTAGGCACTTTAGTAAATGCTGTTTACACCCTTAGGTCTAGACAACCACTAGGGTCTGTCTTTTCTCCCTCCTGTCTCTATAGCTCAGCACCAGCTCAGGCTACCTCTCATTGTGTGAATCTCCATTCTTATCTTTCACTGGCTCCAGATTTCTCATGCCCTGCTCCTGCTCACATAACCTCTACGGCTTCCCATCACCCTTGGGAGAGAGTCCCAGGTCCTCATCCTGGGACTTAAGGCTCAGCCCACTGCACTGACATTTATGATCCGTCCTCTGACCCACCCAAGTTCTACCCAGAAATTCTGGAAGTAGAACTAGCTCAGGCAGTCCCTCCAGTCCATCCCAAGGTGGCGGCCATCCAAGGCAAGACCAAGAACCCTTGGCCCATTCCACTCATGACTGTCTCAGAAACTGGTTCAGCATCTTGGCTCATGCCTTGGATCCCACTCACCTTAAGCTCAGGTCCAGGTGCCACTGTGTGGCCAGAGGTATATTGCTGAGTTTCTCAATTTTTTCTGTCTCAGGGCCTTTGGACTTTGAGGCGTACAGAGCGGCTACCCTGCAGGAAGGCAAGTACGTCTGGGCCTGGATGCCCAGGCTGGACCATGGGGATGAGGGAGGCAGATCTGAATGCGAAAGGGACCCCCACCCAGGGCTCATCTGCACCCCTTCGTCTGTTCTCAGCAATGAAACGTTTGCGTGGAGCCAAGGCCTTTCGCCTCCCAGGACTGAGTCGGCGGGAGCGGGAGCCACCTACAGCTGTGTGAGGAAGCACCCCCAGCCCCAGCCCTGGCCCAGGCTACCCCAGGATCCCCCCTCACTCCTAGGCTCTCCCGGAAGTCCCCTGCTTAGGGTAGCCCAGGATAATTTCTATTCCAGGCTAGCCCAGGGTCCCCTCTACCCAGGCCAGCCCAGAAGCACTTCGATCCAGACTGGCTCAGTATTACCAATGCCCAAGCTAGTCCAGGGGGCTACTCAAATGGTACTAGTGGCAAAGAACCTTCCTGCCAATGCAGGAGACTTGAGAGACATGGGCTCAGCCCCTGGGTGGGGAAGATCCCCTGGAGGAGGGCATGGCAACCCAGTCCAGTATTCTTGCCTGGAGAATCCCATGGACAGAGGAGCCAGGTGGGCTACAGTCCATGGGGTCACAAAGAGTTGGACACGAGCAAAGTGACTTAGCACACACACAAGCTCGTCCAGAATTCTCCTTTTGCCAAGACTAGACCAGGGGCGGCCTGTTCCAGACCCACCCAGAATTACCCCTGCCCTGGCTGGCCTGGGATTTCTCCCTGGCAGGGCTAGACTTGCTGTTTCCCCCATCTCATCTAGCCTGGTAATTCTACCTTTGTCAAGATGAGCCCAAGAGTCTGTCTGCCCAAACTAGTACCAAATTCTTCCCTATACCCGTGGTCTCCCTGGCTAGCCCAGGGTTAGCCTTGCCCAGGCTAGCCCAGGATTCTTCTCTTTGGCAAGGCTGGCCCCGTTATTTCCCTGCCAAGGTGAGCCCTACATTCAGACTGATTTCCAAGTCCCTCCCCTTCCAAGCTGTTTGAGAATGCCCCGTACTCAGCTAACTCAGACTCACTGGCCCCAGCCCCAAGCTAGCTCCAAGGTTACACCACCTGCAGGGCTGGCCCAGGACCACAGAGCTACCCAGGGACTGCTGGCAGGTTCCTCATGTGGTGTTGGGGGCGGAGGGGAGGGCGAGCAGAGGTGGGGGAGCAGACACTGACATCTTCTTCTCATCCCCAGAGATCCCCTGGAGCCTGATTTAGGGGTGAGTGCCATGGGAGGGGCCAGGCCATGCTGCCCAGTGGGAGGGTTCCAGTCCCGCCTTGCTCCCCACTCCCATGCCTGGAAACCACGCCTGGAGCTCAAGGGGCTAGAGGTCACACAGCTTAGGGACCAGGTTCCTGCCACACACGGGCTGCAAACCCCCATGGACAATGTGGGAGGGACCAATATCCTCCCTGCGCTTCAATTTGCCCCTCAGGACGGGCAGTGGCGTGCTGTCTTCCTCTAAGAACCTGCCCACACACCACGGGAAGATAGTTACTGCCATTGGGGTTCTTTTTTGATCTGAGTCAGGGCCCAGAGGTGGGAGGTGGGCATGGCAGGGTGAGACGGGAGGTTTGGTCCCGGAGAGCCTAACGCATTGCTTGCTTGTCCCCCGCCCCAGACTTGTCCAGAGGTGGATGAGGAAGGTTTCACCATCAGGCCTGATGTCACCCAGAACAATATCCTCCTGGCGCCCTCTGGGGGCAGTTGTTGGCACAGCAAGGACAAAGCTCCATCCACAGGGATCCACCCACCATTAGCAACCCTCTCTGCGTACATCCTTGGTGGAGCCTCCAGTTGTGAAGCAAGCAGATTCAGATGCAGACACTCACCCTGAGGGGTCAGAGCTGAGCAAGAGAGAGAGAGAGGAGGGCTTGGTTATCCCAGAGGGGGGAGCAAAAGGGGCTTCCTGGAAGAGGTGGTCACGTGCTGGGGTTTAGCAGCTGAATAGTTTACTAATTAGGTCAGGGCATGCTTATATGAGGGGCTTCTCAGGTGCCACTAGTGGTAAAGAAACCGCCTGCCAACGGAGGAGATGCGGGTTTGATCCCTGGGTCAGGAAGAGCCCCTGGAGGAGGAAATGGCTACCCACTCCAGTATTTTTACCTGGGAAATCCCATGGCCCAGGAGCCTGCTGGGCTACAGTCCACAGGGCTGTGAAGAGTCAGACACGACTGAATGACCGAGCACACACCCATGCTTGTATGAAGGCTTGTGGGGAGAGGAGGATGGTGATGTGGCAAGGGTGGCAAGTGATGAGAGAGGAAATGGCGCAGCGCCTCAAAGGGGTACGAGCGGGAAGGGGCGGGTTTGAGGGCCGACTGGCGGGGACACCAGTGTTGGCGCCTTGACCGCAGTGCACGCACAGCAGAGCCCACCCACCTCTCATCCAGCGACTCCGACTTTGATGACGAGGAGCCCCGCAAGATCTACGTGCACATCAAGCCCGCCTCAGCCCGGGCCCCGCCCTGCAGCCCCAAGGCAGCTGCGGCCCAGCTCAAGGCCACAGCTGGCAGCCTCATCCTCCCGCCTGGCCCCGGGGTGAGGCGTGGGGAGATGCCATGCGTGGGGCAGGGGGCGCTGGCTGAATGCCCCCCCGACCTGATGCCACCCCTTTGTCCACAGGGCACCATGAAACGCCATTCTTCACGTGAGTAGTCTGTTGAGGGGTCTTCAGTTTGACAGGAGGCATGTGGAAGGGAGACTGGGCCTGGAATGTGGGTATGGGTTTGAGTCCCAGCTCTGCCGTGTGACCTGGGGCAAGCTGCTTGCCCCTCTGATCTCACTCTCCTTTAATGACCTGGGGTCGTTCGGGACCGCTGAGGCCAGGAGAGAAGCCAGACGCTGGAGACAAGTTGGCGCAGGTTCAAACCCCTCCCTGCCTGATCTGCTGGTCGCTTTGGGCGGCTGACTGACAGCCCCGAGCCTTGGTCTCCTGGTCTGTGGGGTGGGAAGCCGTGCAGGCCTGGAGCCGGGAAGGCTCAGGAGGCCCATCTCTCACAGGGGACACTGCCGGGAGACCACAGAGGCCGCANACAAGTTGGCGCAGGTTCAAACCCCTCCCTGCCTGATCTGCTGGTCGCTTTGGGCGGCTGACTGACAGCCCCGAGCCTTGGTCTCCTGGTCTGTGGGGTGGGAAGCCGTGCAGGCCTGGAGCCGGGAAGGCTCAGGAGGCCCATCTCTCACAGGGGACACTGCCGGGAGACCACAGAGGCCGCAATCCGCCCCCAGGGCCAGCAGGTGGGTGCCGTGGGGGCGGGCATGGGGCCCACACGAGTGGGCAGGTGGGCGGCCCGTCCCTGACCCCACCTCTTCCTCCTCATCCCCTGCTGCCTCCCCAGGTCTCTGACTCCCCTTCTTTCACCCTGGCAGGGAGTTAAGGACGTGCCGTTTGGGGGGGACCACTTAGTCATTCGTTTGGTGAACATTTATTGGGTGCTTGTGTGTACTCCTGCTGTTCTGGGTTCCAAAGATAAATAGATCCTCCTCGGAGTCACATTCTAGTGGCTCAGATTTTTTTAAGTAGTAAGTACATTAGAGCATATCTGATGCTTCGAAGTGCTGTGAAGAAACTAAAACAGGGAATGTGATGGAAAATAGGAGTGCGTGACTTTAGTTGGGGCCCTGGTGGAGGGGTAGCAGGAGAGGCGGGGAGGGCCTTGAGCTGACTCCTGAAGAGGAGCAGGACGTGGCTGTTGGGAGATTTGGGGGAACAGAGCTCAAGACCAAAGCCAGGGTATGCCAAGGTCCTGAAGTGGAAGTGATAGAACGCACCCCGCCTGTCCAATCCGTGTCCCCAGCTGTGCGGAGAAGCTGCAATCGGATGAGCAGGTTTCCAAGAACCTCTTTGGGCCTACCCTAGAGTCCGCCTTGGACCACGAAGATTTTACAGGTGATGGGGGTGGGGCTTCGGGGCATGGGCGTGGCCACAGGAGGGTGGGTGGGGCCACTACGCGAGTAGGAGGCTCGGATAGGCGGGTCGGTGGGATGGGTTGGAGGGAGGAGGTGGGGATCCTTTGTGGGTCAAAGGGAGGGTGGGCGAGGTCACAGCCGGAATGGGCGGAGCTGGCGAGAAGGTGCGGCCTTTGTGGGAGTGGGATGACAATAGTGGATGGGCGGGGCATCGGCAGAGATGGACAGGGCCTGCTGAGGAGGACCAGACATTGAATGGGGGCGGGCCATCCTCAGCATGGGCGTGGCCTGCGGGCGGATTGATAGGACTCCGTATGAGTGGGGTCTGGAGCTGGCGGCCCCCTTCCCTCCCCCAGGCTCTAGCAGCCTCGGCTTCACCTCCAGCCCCTCGCCTTTCTCCTCCTCGTCTCCCGAGAACGTGGAGGACTCCGGACTGGACTCACCATCCCACGCCGCACCGGGTCCCTCCCCGGATTCCTGGGTCCCACGCCCCGGCACCCCACAGAGCCCACCTACTTGTAGGGTGTCACCCCCAGAATCGAGGGGCACACAGTCCCTGCTGCCATCAGACTCGCCACAGCCCCTTGCAGCGTCCCCGAGCCCCTGGGGGCCGGAGGCTGTGGCTGGAGGAGGTGAGTCCCTCTACCCCTGGTCTGAGAGTTTTCTGAGCCCGGGGGGATGAGAGAGTTCCTAATGTGGCCAGGGCCTGAACAGGGTGTTGAGAAAGACAGCCGGGATGCAGGCAGGCAGAAACCCTAATCTCTGCAGGGACATTAATGAGATGGATGTTGAACAAGGCAGGAGGTGACAGGTGCCTGGTGACAGCCCTGGAGGGAGGGGCTGTGAGCAGAGAGGGGTGAAACCTGCTGGGGTTATAGGCTCTCTGACCACTTGGTCGCTGAGGATGGGAGATGACCAGGGAGGTGAGTCCAGGTAAGCAGTGATGGGGTAACAGTGGGGAGAAACCGCCGGTGGACATGGGGCCCAGAGAAAAGAGGAATCAGGGCGGAGGGCCTGAGAGCAACTGAAAAGAGAGGGAGGGGCAGAAAGAGCAGGAAGGATGGGGCGGAAGAAGCTGGGGTGGGGATGTGTCAAGGCTGGGAGGGAGGAGGGGATTGGGTGTGGGTTGGCTTCTGGGGCCTCAGAGGGACTGCAGTCTGTAGCCATGTGAGATCCCCAGAAGTGGAGGTAGAGGGTACCATCCTTGGCATAAAGAAAGAGCCTGGTTGGAACTGGTTCAAGGGAGGGCTCAGAGGAGTGAGTGTAGACCACAAGTGTAGACAGATGAAGTTATCAGAGGTTTATTGTAGATTAAGGTTCTCAACTGGGCATGTTCTGCCCCCTTATTCCCCGGGCACACTTGGCAACGGCATCACTGATGCTTGATTGTCACCACTTGGGGGCAGGGTACCCCTGACGTTTGCGGGGTGGAGGCCAGGGAGGAAGACAGCCCCACCATAGCAAAGGCTCTGACCCTGTTGAGAATCTTGGGATAGACAGCATCGTCTGGGGTGTAGGTGGGCAAGTAAGCGTTTATAGATGGAGCAAAGCAGGAATATCAAGGAAGCAGGGGAGAAAGGGAAACTGAGGTGTTACACCGAGATTAAATTAGAAGGGTGTGACTCGGACACTGGCCAGGGTGGGAGACCCTCTCAGAGAGAATGAAGGTCGTAGAATTGCCAAATGTTGGATAAAAGGTCTCTGCCAAATCCCCCCACCTGGAACAATGTGCCTGCCTTCTGAACATCCAGCCCTTGTTTGCATACCTCCAGCAATGGGGAGCTCACCCCTTATTGAGCCAGCAGCCTCATGTCTGGGAGACTCAGGGTTGCATATGGTGTCTCCAGTCCTGTCCAGCACCTTCTCTGCAGCCCTAGGACTTCTGACCATCAGGGGGTTTCCCCCTGTAAGCCCGATTCTCAGATTGGGGCTGAATTCTTCTGCCAAGAGGCCCAGACAGCAGCTGAGCCATGTCTGTTCTTATGCTTGTTCCCCAGACTTGATGCCTGTACCTGCTGACCTTGCAGTCAGGGAGGGTCTGGCAGCCCCATCCCGGAGACCGCGCTCCAGGAAGGCATCCTGTCCCCTCATGCGCAGCAATGGGGACCTGGTAGGGTTGGGGGGAGCAGGAGCTGGGCTGGGGGGGTCGCCTCCAGGGTCGGCATCGGGGCACTTCTGCCAGGGTGTTCACAGGCCGGCTTATCTTCTTCCCTTCCAGTCTCGTTCTCTGAGCCCCTCCCCACTGGGCTCTTCAGCTCCCAGCTCCATCGCTGAACGGCCCAGCTTCTCGTCCCAGACAGGACATGGTACGTGGGTCCTCCCTGGAGATAGAGGATCCTGGTGGGCTACAGTCCATGGGGATGCAAAGAGTCGGCCATGACTTAATGACTGAGCAGGTGCACGCACACAGGCAGGCAGACAAGGCACTGATGTAGCCCTGGTTTAGAGGAGCTCCTCCGAGGCTGCTGTGGGCATCAAACTGAAGGGAGCAAGACCAGAGGCCAGCCACAGAGCGGGAAAGGGAAGGGTGAATTGAGGGACCAGGGATAATCTGGGGGGTGTGCCCAGCTGAAGACACCATAAGATCAAGCCACAAGAAGGAGAGTATCAGACCCAAAACCCAAGCTGAGGACTGAATGTTTTGCTTTGAGCTTCCTGGTGGCCTAGGGGAAAAGACACGCGGGGAAGGGAGTGTCCCTGTCTCCTTCAGCTCATTGTGGATTCTTCCTGGTGTCCAGATCGCTGTCCAGGCAGGGACACAAGGGGAGGCAGCTGGGGCTGGGATGCTGCCCTGGTCAGGGCCTTGCTGATTCTGATGGACCTGGTGAGCCACAGGCTACAGTGGAGCTAGGAGCGAGGGGAGGAGGAGGGACCTGGTAGAGCCCTAAGCCAATGCCCAGTTTCTTCAACTCCCCCCACCAGCTGCCTGGCTCGAGTAACTGGGGAGCTGACCATGACCTTCCCTGCCGGCATCGTGCGTGTGTTCAGTGGGACGCCACCCCCTCCTGTCCTCAGCTTCCGCCTCGTGCATACAACCCCCATTGAGCACTTCCAGCCCAATGCTGACCTGCTCTTCAGGTACCATTAGAGGAAGGGGTGCAAAGTTAGGTGGTACTAGGGGCTGGTGGAGGCCAGACGCTCCCCGGCTCTGAATTTCTGTTCTGCCTCCTGGGATTTGCTGTGTGACCTTGGGCAAGTCACTCTCCCTCTCTGAAACTCACTTTCCTTCCCTCTTTTGCTTCCCACCACCCCCCTTTCCTGGGAGTTACACTTTATTGGTCCCAAGGTTAGCCTGGGAATCTGCATCTTTAGGAAGCCTTTGGTGTAGGCATCTCCCAAGGGTTGGGATGATTATTCTTGGTCTCTGCAGTGATCCTTCCCAGAGTGACCCGGAGACCAAAGACTTCTGGCTCAACATGGCGACTCTGACTGAGACTCTGCAGCGCCAGGCAGAGCAGAATCCAGCTGCCTCCTACTACAATGTGGTGCTCCTGCGGTACCAGGTGGGCCGGTGGATGGGGCGGGGCAGAGTGGGCATAGAGAGGATGGTGGGTGGGGGCAGGGTGAGCAGGCAGCTCTCACTGGTGAGAGCAATGAGAGCGGGGTGAGCTGCGGGAGGCAGGCAGGGTGGGCAGTGTAAGGGGGCCAAGGCTTTGCTGGTGCAGACGGCTGCATTATGCAAATTAGAAGGGGCCTTTTCCCAGGGCCTGTCCCCAAGACCGTGTTGGAATGAGGCACTCTGCTGCCCTCTGCTGGACATGCCATGTAATACAACCTCTCATCAACAGAGCTCCCTTGGGGTATCGATCGGGAGCCCCTTGGGTGTCACAGGCAGTGCAGAATCAGGTCATTTGAATGGTGGGTGGCATGGCAGGGGCGGCATGGCTGGAGAGCATGCAGTGTGGCAGGACAGGGCAGCTCAAGCCACATCCTCTCCCCCGTTCTTGCTCCCCCTAGTTCTCCCGCCCCGGTCCCCAGTCCATGCCTCTGCAGCTGAGCGCCCACTGGCAGTGTGGGCCGACCCTCACTCAGGTCTCGGTGGAATACAGCTACCGACCCGGTGCCACAGCTGTGCCCACGCCGCTCACCAACGTCCAGATCCTGCTGCCCGTGGGGGAACCCGTGACCAATGTCCGCCTGCAGCCGGCTGCCACCTGGTGAGGGCGAGCGGGAGGCGGGGGGGAGGCTCAGAACCTAGTAGACCTCCCTCCGATGCAGCATCTGATGGGTCCACCATAGGCCTGACCATTCACCGTGGGCTCCCCTTACTCAGGGGCTTCCCAAAGAGGCTTGGGGTTAAAGAGTCCATCCACCAGTGCAAGGAGACGCAGGAGACATGGATTCAGTCCCTGGGTCAGGAAGACCTCCTGGAGGAGGAAATGGCAGCCCACTCCAGTATTCTTGCCTGGAGAATCCCCATGGACAGGGGAGCCTGCGGGCTACAGTCCATGGGGTCGCAAAGCGTCCGAGAGGATTGGAGCGACTGAGCGCACATGCACGTGCCTTGCTTGGAGCTAAGGGCAATATTATTAACAAAAGTAATGTTTGACACCAAAAGCTTCCTACATGTCAGGCTTGTTCTACATCTCTGCATACACTGACTGGCTCAGGGCTTTTAGCAATGATGGTGGACCACCATCATCCCCACTTACGGAGGGGAAGCTGAGGTATACAGAAGCAAAGTCACTTACCGGAGGCCACACCAGGATGTGAACCAGCTGCCCACTCGTGGCCCCGGGCTTTGAGTCACTGTACAACCTTGCCTTTGTTTTGTACAAAAGGTAGAACCTACAACCAAGAAACCAAATTTATAGGACTGAATGCATCACCTAAAAGTGCTACAAGGCTGAGGAGCCTTCAGGAACCAGCTGCTCCACACCCCTGCCCCCATTTTCACACATGGGGAAACTGAGGCCAGGGAGGGGACCTGGCTTTCTCAGGTCATGTTGCCAAGAGGCAACTGAGCTGGGACCCTGGGCTCTGAATGTCTTTTCTGGGAAAGACCTGACCTGATCTCTTGATGCCAGGAACCTGGAGGAGAAGCGGCTCCTATGGAAGCTTCCAGATGTGTCTGAGGCAGGGGGTGAGTTATGGTTGTACATAAGGGCTTGGAGGTCTCAAATGGGAAAGGCTTATTTAAACTAGGGGAGAGGGAATTCCCTGGTAGTCTAGTGGCTAGGACTCCACACTGTCACTGCTGAGGGCAGGGGTTTGATTCCTGGTTGGGGAACTAAGATCCAGTAAGCCATGGGAGGCAGCTAAAAATGTTTTGTAAATATACTAGGGGAGAACTAGGGATGTGCTGGAGGCAGGGAAGTGTAGGCATCAAGGAAAGCTTAAAATGGCTTTGACAAAGTGGGAAGAGAGGGCATCCCAGGGGATGAGCACAGGAAGTGCAAAGGCCCTGAGGCAGAATTCCTTTGCAAACCACACACAACCCCAGCAGGACTGAAGGAAAGGGGTGCAGAACACAAGAAGGGAACAGAGCCGCAGATCAAAGGGCTTGGGTGTAGGGTGAGGAGGAACCCAGGTCACTGGAGGGCTGGGGTCAGGAAAAGGGCACAGCTGACCTCAGACCTCCCCAGGCTCTGGCCGCCTGTCTGCCAGCTGGGAGCCATGCTCTGGGCCCAGCACGCCCAGCCCTGTGGCTGCTCAGTTCACCAGCGAGGGGGCCACTCTGTCCGGCGTGGACCTGGAGCTGGTGGGGAGTGGCTACCGCATGTCACTGGTAAAGAGGAGGTTTGCCACAGGTATGCCCGCGCCCTGTCACTGTGCATCCCCAGAGCCAGGACCAGGCCCGGCTCTGAGTCCCGCTCATTGCTTCTGCTAGGATGCAGGGGGAGGGGAGACATTTAGGGTGTTTGGAAAAGACAGGTGGGTGTTGGGGCCTGGAGACCCAAGATGGGGGTACGGGGGGAGAGATGGGTGGTCAGAGCCCCAGTGAAAGGGATCAAGAAGTATCCTCTACGGGACTTCCCTGACGGTCCAATGGTTAAGACGCCATGCTTCCACTGCAAGGGGCATGGATTCGAGCCCTAGTCAGAGAACACATGCTCAGAGCAGCCAAAAAAGAAAGAAAAAAAGAAGTGTTCCCTGGCTGGCTGGCGTCCTTGCAAGAACCCAAGGCAGGGAGCTGGAAGCCCCACTGGTGCATCCACCCCCACCCCCATCCCATGCTTCTGTCCCCATAAGCGGCTGCTGGGGTCCATGGGACAGTGGGAACAGTGAGTTACAGGGGTGTTTGGGAGAGCTTAGGGGATCCCTTCTCCCCTCACCACTCTATCTCCACAGGGAAGTACCTGGTGAGCTGTTAAGCCCGCAGAAGCTGACCAGTGTTGCTGGCCCCAGCTCTGCACTGCGTCCTGGTGCTCGCTGACTGCTTCCTGCCCTCCTGCTGGACCCGGGGGCTCCCCATCTGGCCTCCCCTGAGGCCCTGACTCCATGGAGAGGATCCCCATACTCAACTTGGCTGAGCCTGAGATCCACTCCTGCTCACGCCAACTCCCATGCAGGTCCTCGACCTTTTGATGTTCTTTACATAAACACTCTATTTTCTAATAAAATAAATAACAAGACTTTTCCTGCACCAGGAAGTTTCCTTCACACTTCCAGAGAGGAGAGGAAGAAAAGATGGATGGGTAGGAGAGATCTAAAATTCCTAATGATCTTACCACCACCCCTCCACCCTTATCTAGCCAGTGCAGGGTGATATTGAGGGGGGGAAAGCCAGATATGAACACCCCCGACCCCATGGATACCTCCAGTCCTGTGGGCTGGTGAAAGAGAACACACACTAGAGGAACCTAGAGCAGGATGCCAGAAAGACTTCCTAAGCAGAGGGCATTATAAACAGGGCTTTGAGGTTTGAGTAGAAGTTTTCAGGCTGGTGTGGACATGCCAAGCAGAATCATATGAGTTGGCATCCCAAGGGGTGGACACAGGAGGTGCAAAGACCTCGAGGCAGGATTCCTTTGCAAACCACGCACAGCCCTGTGGGACCAAAGGAAAATGGCACAAAAAGCAATTAGTGTGAGGAAGCGAATAGCCCACAAACACTGACTGAGGACTTACAGTCACCTAGGACTTACAGCCACCTAGAGCTATGAGCAAGACAAAGCTCTTGAAAGCCGTGAGGCTGTGAAGCTGAAAAGACAGGATTTAGAGCCAGTGGCTGTGTGACTGAGCCAATAACTTGAGCTCCCCAGGTCTCATCTGTAACCTACCTCATTAGGTGCTTGTGAGGAGGTCACATACTTTGAAGAGTGCCTAGTACAGAGTAAGTACTCCAGAAGTCCTGGTATTCTCTTATTTACTGGGGGTCCCTGGGTGGAAGGTGGGGACCTAAGAGCAGGTGGGCCAGGGGTGGCCTGAGAGAGGGCCAGGACAAGTGAGTAGCCAGCATACTGTGGTGGGGAGCAGGTCTGAGCTTGATGGAAAGTCCTGGGTCCTGGTGGACATGTGGGGATCCTGGGTACATGACTCAAGGCCATGGAGATCCCGGGATCGCACCAGTGCACAGACTTTGCTGCCTCCAACAGGACTTTAGAGCCAGTGACGGCGGGTCCTTCCCCTCACAGGCCCTCGGCTCCTCAGCTACAAGTTCATAGCCCACACTCACCCTAGGTTCCCTGAGTTCATGAGCCCCGTAAATATGCTAGATCAAATGTCAGAGCCTATGGGATTGTCCCCTCCCTCCAAGTCTTTGCACACGTGCGTACATGAGTATGCATAGTCTCAGTGGCTTTGAGTCCTCCAAAACAGTCCCTTTGCTAGCCCTGTGTGGCTGAAAGGCTAGGGTGCCACGTCCACGCTGTGGACCAGAGCATGAGGAAACACTGGTGTTTATCACAACTCTGAGCATTTGCTGGGTTTGGGTTCTGGCCCATCTGATAAGAAGCAGGAAAATGCTACCTCCTGGTGGTTTTCATTTGCTTTCCTTGGGTCACAAGTGAGGCTGGGCAACCTTTAAATCACATCAGGCATTTCTGGGTACAGCCTCTTAAGTGCCCGGACATCCAGATCCGGTGTGACAGGTGCCTATGTGGGAGGGTGAGTCCCAGGAGGGAAGGTGGGATCCCCATTTAACTGGACAACCCCAGGCAGGCAGCCCTGTCATTTGATGGTTTACAATACCCTGGGCTCCTACACCTTGGAGGCCTCCAGACACAAAGCAATTAGGTGACCAGCTAGAGGCCACCCCCAATAGGTGAATGGCCGGAGATATATTATTTTTTAGTTGAGGTGACATTCACATAACAGAAAATTAATGATTTAAACAATTTAGGGACTTTTCTGATGGTCCAGTGGCTAAAACACAGCGCTCCCAATGCAGGGGCCTGAGAACTAGATCCCATATGTCACAGTGAAAAGTTCCCTCCTGCAGCCAAATAAATAGATAAAACAACATATATTTTTAAATACAAAAGAATTTAGTGCCATATAGCACAACCACTATGTTGTCAACTGTCCCCTCTAGTTCTAGAACATTCCGATCACCCCAAAAGGAAACCCATTCCCATTAGCTGCCACTCCCCATTCCCTCCAGGCCCTGGTACCTACTAATCTGCTTTCTGACTCTAGAGACTTGCCTGTTCTGGACATTTCATATACGTGTGTTCATACATGATGTGGTCTTTCCAGCCTGGCTTCTTTCACTCAGCATAGTTTTCACTGTAGCATGTGTCACTGCTTTCTTCTTTGTTATGGCTGAATAATATTCCAGATTGTTTTCATCCACTCATCCTTTTATGGACACAGGTTGTCTCCACCTTTTGGTGACTGCCTTGTGCTACTATAAACATGGTGCACACCTTTTTGAACACCTGTTTTTTTTGGGGGGGGGGTGGATACCTAGGAGTGGAATTAAATTCCTGGGTCATATGATAATTCTAGTCTGTATTTGAAACCAAGCCCTCCAGCTCCACGGTTCTACCCTGAAAGGTTTTGAATCCACGCTGGCTGTGATAGACTCCAACTTCCTACCAGGCAGGACCTCAGTTTTCACGTTGCCAGCTGGGCTAGGTGAGCCTGGTCAGCTCCCAGGGTCCACACATTCGGGGAGGGGGGGTTGGGATGACACAGGAAGGGGGCCTTGCCTGATGTGGAGGGGGATGGGCAGAAGCACACCCACCAGATGCTGTCTGATCAAGCTCTCCTACCTGGCTCTTGTGGAGAAGGAAATGGCAACCCACTGCAGTATTATTGCCTGGAGAATCTCCTGGACTGAGGGACATGGGGGACAGCTGTCCAGGGGGTCGCAAACAGTTGGACTGGACTAAAGCTAAAGCGACTGAGCACGCACACACACATGGGGCTTGTGAACGCAGGAAACCCGAGGGGGCCCCATCCAGTAAAAGAGGAACTTTAAACCAGGAAACTTCAACGGCTTCCATAGTTCTGAGGTTGGTCATCGTGAGAAAGTGCAAGAGCCAGGGTTTCTGTGGCCAGAAAGTGTTAGTCGCTCAGTCATGTCCGACTTTTTGTGACCCCATGGACCGAAGCCCACCAGGCTCCTCTGTCCAAGAACTTCTCCAGGCAAGAATACCACAGTGCGTAGCCGTTCCCTTCTCCAGGAGATCTTCCAGACCCAGGGATCTGAGGCCTGAAATGCCTCCATTTGAGGCAGACATTTAATGTCATCGCTCTTCAACGCCCACAGAGTAGCTCATGCAGTTGCTCTGTGCTGACCTTGCTCCCCAGATCTGTCCCAGCTGGACAAGCCCGGGTGTAGTTCCTCCACTTTACAGATGAGGAAACTAAAGTGCAGCCAGGACCTGCTCCTCTTCCTCCTAGGGAGGAAATCGCGATGGGGGAGGAAGCAGAGGATGGCTTGAACCACCACCTGGCTTACACCTCTGGACCTGGAGCTCTCCTCCGCAACCCGACTCATCTAATGTGCCAACACCAGAAAGTTCTAGACACTCAAACGCAGCACAGGCAGGGTTCGAATCTTGGCCAGCCCAACTCAAGAATCTTCCCATCTGACTTGCAACTTTGCGAATGCCAGCCCGCGGCACCTGGACGTCTGGGGGCTCCGGATAGTTTATGGGCTTCTGAAATATTGTAACCCCTTGAAGAACCACTGGGATCAACTCGCCTCCTTGCTCCCCCCCACCCCCACCCCCGACACACANCCCTGAAGTGTGGTGGTGGTTTAGTCGCTAAGTCGTGACCAACTCTTACGATCCCATGGGGGCAGGGAGATCGAGGAGCCCCGGGTCTCAATAACACTGTTGCCCTTACCCATCGCTAATAGTAGTCGCCCGCGTCCCACGGCCGACTCAGTCCTGGCCCCGAAGGAAGCCTCACTCACGCCTGGGGACTGGGACCCCGAGGCCCCCCGACCCTGTAACTGTCCCGTTGCAGCCGCGGTGCACACAGTGAAGCCACCCTGGACCCCCGCCTCCCGCCTTCCTCCTAGGATAGAGTGGGAACCGAACCAAGAGTGGAGTGCGCTTTGTACACGCTGGCCGTTACTATTACTGTTATCGTTATTGTTGAGATTGTTAGCACGCTGATTGGGAGGGTCTGGGCAGAAACAGCAACAGCCTTTCCAGGCGCTGCATCAGGTTCCCGCGCGGGACTCCAGGGCACAGTTTCCTTTGGGATTCATTCAGGTCCCGGCTCAGCCAGTGCCTGGCTGTATAGCTTGCTTCTGATTACTCCTGCTCTCTGAATGCACCTCAGTGTCCCCTCTGTGGGGCAGCAAAATGACCCAGCTTCCACGAGGATGCCTGAGCAGGTTAGCTTGCAAAAGCTTTTATGGTGGGGGCACTTTTGGCCACTGAAAGACCTCAAGCAAGTGACTGTATGTCTCTGAACCTTGGCTTCCCTGTATGTCATATGGCAGTCGTGATGTGGAACTGTGGTGAAGGTGAAATAAGTGCAACAGCCAAACTGTGGGTCCACAGAAAGCCAGCCATCCCCATGAGTATATTAGTAATTATAATTATTATATTGCATCATTAGCTATCTTTATGGCTTCTCCACCAACTTTCCCTCTGGCCAGATTTTTTTTTTTTATGGCCACTTTTCAGATGGAGAAACTGAGGACCTGTTCCCCTTCCCCCCCAGCCCTCTACCCTGACCTTTCCTGGCCCCTCTCCCTACCCCAGCTCTTATCCTCTATCCCTTGGGCCAGCGCCTCCTTGTCCAAATCTGGAATTCAGGACCCAGGGGAAGTTTGCTGGATTTGGGACTGGCCCTGGGGCCACATGGGCTTCCACTGGTGGCTCAGATGGTGACGAATCCACCTGCAATGTAGGAGACTTGTTTTGATCCCTGGGTTGGGAAGATCTGCTGGAGAAGGGAATGGCTATCCACTCCAGTATTCTTGCCTGGAGAATCCCATGGACAGAGGAGCCTGGTGAGCTACAGTCCATGGGGTCGCAAAGAGTCGGACATGACTGAGCGACTAGCCACACACTTCCAACTGGGACCGCAGCTTTCTCCCACAGCCCTGTCTGTTCCCAAGGTTGCCACCAGCATTGGCGGTATAATGGTGAGCATAGCTGCCTTCCCAGGTGGCCACCATGCCAGACAGGTCTGAAGAGTCCAGAGGAAGAGGTGTGGCCCCTGCGTCAGGCC